CGCCCACGGCATCAGTGGCACGGTGAAAATTATCCCAGAAATGGCTGTTGTCCTTCGCATGTCTTGTTCTCAACCTCAAACTTTCACCCCCAAAGCCACAAAATCTGAGATACGGCTATAATACGGTTTTTACAGTCACACAAACAACACATACACAACCACTAACTGACGCACACACGGGTATAGCCACACGCACGCGTGCGTGTATTATAAGCGAAATTCACATTTTGGCCCTCTGCGGATGAAAAAAGTGTCGCTGAAATACGCGCCATTTTACCTGCAAAAGTTTTCATGCTGACTGGTCGTGGCGATACCATCCGCTGCAGAGGGAGTAAGTGAAAAGTGATTACTTTGATTCATTGTTAATTTTACTGCCTGACACAGCAGATGAAAGGTCAGCATAAAGAACCGGCAATTGTTTATTATTATTATTATTATTATTAAATCTTTATTGCATGTAATTCAACTACAAATACATGTACTGGAGACAGCCTTTTTCATGGAGAAAGAATCTGATAAATGCAATAGTGTTGGGCAGTTAAAATAACAAAATTTCTAAGTGATACATCCTAGTTTACTTCTAGAGACTGTACGGTAAGTTTGTCATATGTCGCAATAGTGTATCCCGGGTTCGCGGATAATCTTGCACCACTACAGAGGTGCTGCCCTACAGCGGCGAGTTTTTCTAGCGGCTAACCACATTCATGGCTCTTTCGATATTATATAAACGAGCTATCTATTTTACCACTAACCTCTCACTCAAGTTAGAGAAGATGCGTGTCTTCGTATGTGAATATTATATTGATCTATGATTAGTATTGATCTATGATTAGTATTGATTGCTTCGTAAATTGATATTAATGTATATGTAATAGCAAAACAGCAAGACCGACAGACAAACAGACAAACACTCGTAGTCGATTCGTTAACCTGGTGTATACATTTTATTAATCGGGGAAGTAAATCGTCTAATATATAATAATAAGAATAATGGTAAAATATTATTAAATACAGATCTATGTTAAACAAGTATATTTTCGATAACTAAAATCAAAGTAAAGGAAAGAGTCTTGCTAGCCCTAGCCCGTACCAACACTTACAGCATACCGAGCACCGCTGCCCTTCTTAGAATTTGTTCTCATATATTTACTGTTTGAAGAGGGAGTCTTCTACCTCGGCCGGTTGCGGAATGACCTTTCTCTTCTTAATGGCGAGCAGCTCCCTCTCGACTTGCAGGCGTTGTGCCTCTATCCGCGTCAGCTCATTCAGTTTCAATAGCAGTCTACGTTGCACGTGCAGCGTGGCAACCTCGGGGCTGCTACGTTTCCTTTTTCGTCGGTACGCGCTCGCTTCTGCGCAGGCACCCGAGAAGTTCCAGAACAAAGAGGATGCTCCTTTGGGCTGTTGTGGTGCCTCCGCATGGCTCGTCGACGGGTTGTCTGCACCGGCTGCCGATTCTATCCACACTGCAAATAAATTCGAAAAAACCTCTGTTCGTTCTAGACGTCCATGTGAAACGAGCTTTCGATCAGGACATAATACACGAGACGACGCACGTTAAAACTCCTAGGATAATCTCTTTTACTGCACGTATTTTTCACTGGGTTTGCCCGTTACATCACTGAATCAATGAAAAAATATTTGCGAACATTATTCTACGTATTTGTCATTAGCATAATGTGTACTGAAACGTCCACAAAGTAGATTATTTTTAGTACTCACTGACGAATGCATACATTTATTCTTTTATTTATGCAAAAGTTTTACCTGATGCACCAGTAAAAACACGATGAAATGAGTGTAATAGTCTTTCTATATTGTACTTAATGTTAACAGTTGTTACTGTTTGATGCACCGACTAATGGACAACATGTACACACAGGCACGTACACGCACACATATGTTACAAATCAGTGTGATTGTGAACCTATGTATGTTGATACACAATACCTTCTTCCTTCTTGGTTACGTGTGGCATGGTCTCTTCTTCTTCTTCTTCTTCTTCTTCTTCCTCTTCTTCTTCATCTTCGGTTTCTCCAATTAATGAGAGAATCTTCTCAGTTCTTTTATCTAATGGAAGTGGGGGTGCATACCCAGCTCCTGTCATCGCAATACCTCGCTTGTATTCTGCACCACGCTTTCTCGCAATCACCTTAAGATCAGACCATTTCTTTTTGACCTAATTGAAAACATTAAGAAGCAGGCCATTAAAAGGAGCATTATGGAATTAGACTTGCTTAGATAGCCTGAGTCAACTTGACTTACTTACTTACATATTTACACACATTTATGCTATTTTATCATTAGACATTCTAGACATTATAAGTTGTAGGTTCTATATTACATATACTACAATACAGCTATTTGCTCTGTGACATGACTGTGAAACCCCAGTGAAGTGATTGAAGGATTGCATATATATATATATATATATATATATATATATATATATATATATATATATATATATATATATATATATATATATATATATATATATATATGCTAATAAATACTTGAGTGAATCGATGCTTTTTTTATACTTACATCTCCTGATGCACGGCTGACAGCGGCGACACGATTCACAGCATCGCATACGCCCTCCCATGCTCTTCTCCTATTTGAACGTGGCATTGGCCGCAGTTCTGCTGCGACCGGTCCACACAGTACGCTTCTTCGCATGCTTACTTCGTTTACGAGTACTTCTACTTCTTCGTCGAGAAAATTCTTTTTTCTCCGCCTTATGATGACAGTAGGATTATTGGCCATTTTATGTTTGGTTTATACAACATCTAACTCAGGTATACCTTGCACACTTGACACATGTCACAACGAACGAGGGCGCACTCCTACTTTGGGACCAGCACCTGTCTTGACGGTGACTGCTTGCTTGGGCTTCTTTGATACTTTGTCACGTTTTGTGTGTCGTGGCCGTGGGCGTGGAAATGTAACTTTGTCCTAACTCGCCCGCGAGCGATTCGCGGTAAGCTTATAACATTTTAAAAGATATACGGAAGCCATTTAAAAATTAGATTCATTATTATTAAACCCTGAGGTACTAGTTGTAGGCCTACGTTGAGACGCTGTACGTGGTCATCAAACGCTAATCACTGCTTTCGCCATTGTGCGAGTAACCCGTTCAAAATTAGTTCACCCTCTCTTTCTAGTCAATTATAAAATAGCAACCTTTCTCTACTGAAACCGGCGGGGTTGCTATTTCAACGTGATCAGCGCTCTCTCCTTCTTTACAATTCCTTGTTCTATGAAGAATATTTAAACTCGTTGAAGCTTGTATGCTAGGTTAATCGGTCTCAGCGGTGTAACAGCAAGTTCAGTGCACAGAGTCACAGAGTCATGCACCTAGTGCCACCTAGTGTGAGAACTGCGCGTCTTTAGAATAATGCACATAGTTGTTTATATTGTGTATAATAGTTATATTGTTTTGTGCACATGATGCAAAAACATTGTTATTATTTTACGCTTGTCACTGTTTATATATATAATATATGGCAAAAACAATAATACTATACATTGCTATCAGCTGTTGTCAACGAGTATACAGATGCAGTTTCCCATATCAGTATAAGTAGCTCGCATTATATCAGGAGTGTATTAATTCATGTATTATCAATATATGTAGACAATGTGTAATTATACACAGAAAATTACCTCAATCAAAAAACATAAATTTTCTGTGTGCTGATATTCCAACGTGTTCTGTACGTTTTCTGGTGCTGTAGTGTAGTAGACTGTAGTTTGTACTTGTATTTTTTAAAGAAAGGTCCAAGGTATAAATCTTACTACTTACGATGTTTCATTTACATAATACTCTTTTCAACATTACCGATATTTTATACACATCATACATAAATTTATGAGAAAATACTAATTAGTGTGACGTACAGGTAATGGTATTTGAAATCAGGCTCTTAATTATAACAGAACACAAAAAAACAAACAAATGTTCTTAATATTGTAGAATCCAAAGTTTGGCAATATATTTTATATGGCATAAAACATTTTATATATGGCATTTTATATGGCATGATTACTTTCTCAAACTATCATTATATAAACATTTCAGTATCGAACTAAAGATGAAGCATTACCATATTACACATCAATTTATGCTGCACAATTAATTGTCAGGCATCACAACTAGCTGACATGAAGAGCTCTCTGTATGATGAGATCAATAGCAATTTCTGTGTCAGCATGGTCACCTATTTGATTGATTGTTATCGCAATCACTACTTAAATTCACATTATAGTAAAATTTATTATAAAAATAATAAACCGGGTCGTAAAAATGTGAATTAAATTAACATGATGGCAATTAGTAAAAACACTTGGCGATTGTTGATCAGAAGTTGAAAGCTTTCGATCAGAGATAAATACATCATTTCAATGAATCATGTCACTACCATAAGCTAACCATTTTAATGACGACTAAATTTTCAACCAGTAGTACCAATGGAGTTGTCACTTTTCTGAGTTTAGCAACGAAACAGAAATCTATTTTAAACACCTTTTAATGGTGATGGCTTCCTAAATTTTTAATATGGCAGCATAGTAGATAACATCGTAATATTATAGACATATGCCTCTACGCAGAAGGCCCAAGAAATAATTTAATTTAATTTTATATTCATGGGAATGCATGGCATATGATATCATAGATCCAGACATCAACATTTGTTATATTATCCCAAGCTGTATACTCTCCTTGTGTGCACTGTTAGTGTCTATACATTTTAATCTAGTGCATAGCTTAAAACTAACACACTTCTCATTGTCATGAACATATGTATACTCATAGGAGAGCATACACGTGCTACTGTCATCTTTTGTTGTACAATTTCCTTTGCATGGCTCAACTGAAGTCGTCCACCACATGTATCTTCCAACCCAAGTAGCGGTGCTGGTAACACTGGTAGTAGACAAGATCAGGTGTGCTGCTGTCAGGTGTCCATGTAAACACTCCTGCTTTCCTAGGTCGGTGACAGTTAAGGCTCAGCTCTGCCTCCTTGTAAGCTTCAAACGTCGCATAATTCTCCGGATCTCCATCACCACTCATGAACTCACACAGAGTGCCGGCTATGATGAGAGAAATAAAACGACTTACATATAGCTACAGCTTCATTATGATATCTTGATCCATCAGAAAATGTACGAGTTGATTACCATATACTAGTCATCGGTACTAGTCATATCCTGTTACTATCCATCTGACATCAATCAAGTGATATTCAGTCAAAGCTGTAAAAGGCTTCACTTTATAACTGCCAGTCAAAAGGAATTGCCAAAACTGTCAGTTATAGACAGGTGACGAAAATGGCGAAAGTATTCTTTATACTAGACAGGTGTTCGATTGATAGTGGCAGTTCCACTGCATAACTATCAGAAAACAGAAGTGCCAAAAGTTATTCTTTATAGACAGGTGTTCGCTCTGCAAATTTATCCACTTACGCAGGTTTGACTGTATATCTAGTACATCTTGTGATATCTACAAAAATTTTAGAACATGTCTGCTATGTACCTGCTTCTGGTACAGGATTGCCACTTGCATCTATGCCAAAGTAGATCTGTAGCTGGCTTCTCTCGGCATCAGATCTCTGTGCGTATCCACCTGTAGCATCGTCGGCAATGTAGACAGGATGATACTCAGCCGGAGATGATGGGTTGTTGCCAGTCTCTACTCGGAATCTGTATGTTTCGCCTCGTTTCAGCACCAGCTCTGGGATCAACATTCCGTTGACGTAGAACGCAATGCCCCAGGACAACTCACCTAGTTCATACAAGACAGGAGAACTTGTTCATTAAATATACGGCTGGAATTAATCTACTTCTCACTATGAATATCTCAGCTGAGTTTAGGAGAATATAGTAATGTTGCCCAGATATGTATGTAAACTGAGAGGCCATCTATTCCAACTTTGCCAGCAGCACATACATACCAGTAATTGCAGTGTAGCCCTGGCTGCCACCGGATGGACCCAGCTGAATCGTAAACTCATTGGTATCTTTTCCAGATATGATGCTTGGCTCCCAGCCTTTTGTGGTGGCTGCGTTGAGTGTAGATGTGGGAGGCAGGACAGGAGAGCAATTGTCTGCAGGACTACGGCCAAAATTCATCCTCAAATTTCCTGAGAAATACCAATTAAAATTACATTAGCATATATATACCTATATACCTAAAAATTGTAAATGTTATTAACGAATCTCTGCATTTTATACATTTTGATGCCTTGATAATAATAAATACATGATCCTTATTAGAATATATATATATATATATATCAAGGGCTAATAAATACCTAGAGTACTCAACGGGAAAACGGGAAAATAGTGCTATTTCACGGCAATATTATTCTACTTTGTATGCGGTTCTAGACTAAGTTCATGGTATTGTGTTAAGCAGCATTCTTTGCTCTCTAAAATAAGATCAACCGCTTGTCTCTACGATACTCCTAGGCCGAGATATTGGAGCGTAATCATGCCTCCCACAGGCCTCACGCCGCCTCGTTTCCACAATATTCATTATCCTTCTCGCCTTTTGCGGGTCTAGCTGGCTATCGTTTTCTGTCGCCGCTTGGAACGCTGATAATTGATGTCACATGAACAAATTTCGTACTCTTACTACACCATATAGTAACTGAGCTGCGTTGTAGAGACTTAATTAGAAAACATTGCCGGCTCCATCATGACGGGCATTAGCCGTGCTAGGAAAGATAATGGGAGATAAGGGCATAGGCAATGCCCCCGAAAGTCACCGATAATAACCGAAACGCCGTTCATTCATAAAGTTATCGCGGAAAAAACCGAACTCTCACGAAGCGACTTTCCTAACCCACAAAAGGCGAGAAGGATAGTGAATATTGTGGATGCGAAGCGCCGTGAGGCCTGTGGAAAGAGAAGTTTACGAGCCAATATCTCAGCCTAGGAGTATCGTATTGACAAGCGGTTGGTCTTGTTTTAGAAAACAAAGAATTCTGCTTAATGCAATACCATAATATTATTCTAGACTCGCAGGCAAAGTAGAATAATATTGCCGTGAAATAGCACTATTTTCCCGTTTTTCCATTATACACTCTAGGTGTTTATTATCTCTTGATATGTATATAGCGAAATAAAGTGAAAATGTGATGAACCGAATTCTTGTATTTTCTACACTTTGATGCTGTTGTTCATAATATAATAAATAAACGAGAATGCATAATAAAACTGAAGCATATTATAACAATTGATTACACCCTGCTTGCCTAATGAACGATGAGAAACAAGTAAGAACAATTAAATACCTTGTGTTCTGAGACTGTGTTTGTAAACAATCCCTTGGTCATCAACATCGCCAATGCCCCATATTATGAACTGACTTCTTCCATCACTATAATATTGCTTGTCCAACATGTCACCTGAGCATTTGAAAATCTTTATAATAAAATCAGCACATTCACCAAATAGAAAATATGGTTCAAGAAAGCTTTTAAAACTTCGCTTAGTATAGTATCACGAACATAGATGTAAATATATACTACATGCATACTTAATAGACATATGTTCATAGTAACATCAGGATCGAGCTACCTGTTTTCAGCTTCCGTGAGAACGTAATGGTTGTTATTCCATTCGTAATGCTTCCAACCATGTTTTCTACATCATTGGTCCCTCCTACCCTTATATCAGGACAAACTCCACTCTGCCCAGAACACTGTAAAAAAGAGTACCATGAAAACACAGTCAATATATATATACAATTATGAGTCAATTTCTGCAATGCCAATTGGGTTTTAGTTCAGGTGTTATGGGAAAATATTGTGCTACTAATTTGCTATGGAAGGACATAACCATTTTACCTGTGGGCTGAAAGATGTTTAAGAAAATTTCCTGTCACATATAAGTTGCTGTTGCAATTATTTATTGATTCGTTCATGAAAGTATTGTAAACAAAAAAAGAATCAATAAGAATTGCAGTATGGAGTTTGTGACAGATAGCATGTAGCTGCAATCCTCTGCCACAAACACATTTCCTCCTACATTTCATACATGATCGAATCATAGAGGCACCTGCGATCTGTCGCGCAGACTGTAGTCAACAGCTCTTGCTGCACCCGTGCTTTTCTCGATCCAGGCGACAACAACGTCTGCACCGACCATCTGAGAACTGTGATTGCTTCCACTCAAGCCGAATGACATGTAGGTGCCAGCATCTAGGTGAATGAAGTAAAGCAAGCACATTACAACTAGCTAACGTTAGCAACAGCAAGCACAGATGTCAGAACAGAATTTAAAATATTATAATGCTCACGTGATCACATTTATTTCACATGCTCAATCAAAACTGACAAACAACAACAAAAATAATAATGATGACAACAACAGCAACAACAACGACCACAACAGTAGCAACATTACCAAAAAAAATAATAATACCAATCATTATTATTATATTTAGAAAATATAATTATAATATACTAAAACTGTTTAATTTATTTTTTTATGTTTCTAAATGCATGGTGAATTGCATGTATTCCACACACACAGCTGTAAAATATAAGAACTAATTCTGTTACTTACTGACAGCTCCCATCAGACTGATGAAGATGGAACCAGGAGCAACACTCCAAGCAACGTTGAAGACACCATCGCTAAAAGTCTCACAGTTCTGTAGCAGGCGTCCACGAGCAGCAACAGGAGATATCAGACCAGACTGCTGCATGATGAAATAATACAGTCAGGCCTACTTTCTAAATTTGTTTCTCAAATTATGTTGTGTAGAGAAAGCATGGAAATTTATTCTAAGAGTCAAGAGGTTGTACTGGTTTCATGTTCAAAACACACCTGGGCTGCAAATGACGGAAGTCTTCGTGTCTGCTTTATCGAAGCTGGGATCTCAACGTGACCAAAGTTGACAGCAGCCGTCAAACAGTAGACACTCAGGTAGTCTACATCATACCAGCTCATGCCCTCTGGGAGGGTCAATGTCAAAGTCTTACGTCTGTACCTCCTCAGTGGTTCTAGACTGAAACCACAAGACATAAAGTAAGGAATCGAAATATCATGTTATACAATTAGAAAAACGAAATTTACCTGATATTAACAATGGGTTTACCTTCCATTTTCATCAGGTATCTTAGTTCCACGTGGAGATGGGGTGCCTCTACCCACATAGAAGAATGTATCTGAAGCGAGAAACAGTAGGTCCTACGGTGACACGTAACTCTACGCTAACTCGATCGAACATGATAAAACACACGATTATTCGGGTATACTATTTATGTTTATGATAATACCTGGAGCAGAGCCATCATAACTAAAGTCCTGTATTTCCACTGTTCTGTCAGTAAGCAATGTGATTGATCCAGAGCCAACCATGTGAGGCCCATGAGGAATTCCTTCTATTACCTGTGGTGCAGTCATCTGTACCTGCATAACAATATAGATAGCATATATCAACCTACGATAATATTTAAAACACAAATTTATATAAGCGATAACATTAAAACAGTGTGTACAATTATTATAAGTTATATAGTTATGTCATTCACGTATTTGTACCTGTTGTGCTAAATATGGTGGTAGAATACTCTGCTTTACTGAAGCTGGGAACTCAACGTGACCAAAGTTGACAGCAGCAGTCAAACAGTAGACACTCAGGTAGTCTACATCGTACCAGCTCATGCCCTCTGGGAGGGTCAATGTCAAAGTCTTACGTCTGTACTTCCTCAGTGGTTCTAAACTGAAACAACAAGAATTGAAGTTAGGAATATCCTGTTATACCATAAGAAAAACAAAATTTAGGTTTAACCATGAGTTTCCCTTCTATTTTCATCAAGTAACTTAGTTCCACTCGAGGATGGGGTGCATTTTTTGGCGGTAGAATTGATAACAAGAGATGTCAACCATCTTTGCCATATATGATGGATTTACCTTCCATTTTCATCAGGTATCTTAGTTCCACGTGAGGACGGGGTGCCTTTACCCACATAGAAGAACGTATCTGAATAGAGAAACAGAAGACCATGTGGTAACACATAACTCCAAGCTAGCTTGATTAGACATGATGTAACATGGTATAAGACATGGTTATCAACATAGAATTATTATGTTCATGATAATACCTGGAGCAGAGCCATCATAACTAAAGTCCTGTATTTCCACTGTTCTGTCAGTAAGCAATGTGATTGGTCCAGATCCAACCATGTGAGGCCCATGAGGAATTCCTTCTATTACCTGTGGTGCAGTCATCTGTACCTGCATAACAATATAGATAGCATATATCAATCTATGATAATATTTAAAACACAAATTTATATAAGTGATACCATCAATGCACGTATATGTACCTGTTGCGCTACATATGATGGTAGAATACTCTGCTTTATCGAAGCTGGGATCTCAACGTGACCAAAGTTGACAGCAGCAGTCAAACAGTAGACACTCAGGTAGTCTACATCGTACCAGCTCATGCCCTCTGGGAGGGTCAGTGTCAAAGTCTTACGTCTGTACCTCCTCAGTGGTTCTAAACTGAAATATCCACACGTAAAATTAAGGAACTACATAGTATCGATTTTACAATCATGAAAAAGAAAAACATTCTGAGTCTTGTAGAATTTATAACAGAAGATGTCAACCATCTTCGCCATATATGATGGGTTTACCTTCCATTTTCATCAGGTATCTTAGTTCCACGTGAGGACGGGGTGCCTTTACCCACGTAGAAGAACGTATCTGAACAGAGAAACAGAAGACCATCTGGTTACATGTAACTCCAAGCTAGCTCGATTAGACATGATAAAAGTCACATCACACATGATTGTCTCATATACCTATTATATTCATGATAATACCTGGAGCAGAGCCATCATAACTAAAGTCCTGTATTTCCACTGTTCTGTCAGTAAGCAATGTGATTGGTCCAGAGCCAACCATGTGAGGACCTCTCGGCAGACGCCGTATTGTCTGTGGTGTTGGTCCAGCTGCTCCTGTCTCCAATGTGAGACTGCCAAAGTTCACCTATCACAGAAGCTTCAAAATTTATTCTTGCAAAATGAAGCCATATCACAGGATAATGAATAAAAACACCAAATTAAAGAAAAGCACTTCAATAAAATTTGCTTTTATTAGATATATATAACTCAACCACGTTTCATTCACTCAATGATGTAATTGTATGCATGTGTGACTTACTGCAAATGATCTGCACCACACTGACAGCCAGCGAATGTCAGACACTTTGAGTCCGCTGGGCAAGGGTAGAATCAAGTCTTCGTTACTGTAAGCTTTCAGGGGTTGTGGGCTGTGCAAACATGAAAAGAAATAATTATTCATAACATTTACAATGTCTGCTACCTTCTTATGACCATGATTGCATAAAATGTGCAGACTACGCAATGAAAGACAACGTACTCAGAGGGATTCAGTGAAATCAACTCTCCATCATCGCTGGGTGTATCACCATTCCTGCCAGCCCAGAAAAAAGCATCTGCGTAGCAAAATAACGTTAGAGCATGCGTTCATTCTTCATCTCTACCGTTACTAAATACAATGAAAGTGTCAATATTTGTGCAGCTCATGCACCTTGGGTGTGATAGAAGAGGGAGGGGGGATATATAAAGCAAGAGTATATATGGGAGAACTCCCATTATATAGCATATCTCCCATTATATACTCTTGATAATGATATATGCATAAGTTTTGATGCGAAAATAAATGTTTCAGATCTGAAAGTCTGAAATCTTGACGAGAGATGGTGCTATACCTAAATGATCGTCATTTTGGTTTTCGAATATCGCGCAAATAAAAACAATAAAATATTCAAGTCAACTTACTGTAACGAAGAAGCTAAAACACAATATTACACGTATATAGGTATGATTGTAGAGTTGTTGACCAGTTAGACAAAATAAATGTAATAGGACGTTGTCATCTCTCCCATAGGATGACAGCTCCCATCAGACTGATGAAGACGGAACCAGGAGCAACACTCCAAGCAACGTTGAAGACACCATCGCTAAAAGTCTCACAGTTCTGTAGCAGGCGTCCACGAGCAGCAACAGGAGATATCAGACCAGGCTGCTGCATGATGAAATATTACAGTCAGGCCTACTTTCAATTTTTTTTTCTCAAATTATGTTGTGTAGAGAAAGCATGGAAATATATTCTAAGAGTCACGAGGTTGTACTGATTTCATGTTCAAAACACACCTGGGCTGCAAATGACGGAAGTCTTCGTGTCTGCTTTATCGAAGCTGGGATCTCAACGTGACCAAAGTTGACAGCAGCAGTCAAACAGTAGACACTCAGGTAGTCTACATCGTACCAGCTCATGCCCTCTGGGAGGGTCAGTGTCAAGGTCTTACGTCTGTACCGCCTCAGTGGTTCTAGACTGAAACCACAAGACATAAAGTAAGGAATCGAAATATCATGTTATACAATTAGAAAACCGAAATTACCTGATATTTAACAATGGCTTTACCTTCCATTTTCATCAGGTATCTTAAGTTCCACGTGGAGATGGGGTGCCTCTACCCACATAGAAGAATGTATCTGAAGCGAAAACATAGGTCATACGGTGACACGTAACTCTACGCTAACTCGATCGGAACATGATAAAACACACGATTATTCGGGTATACTATTTATGTTTTATGATAATACCTGGAGCAGAGCCATCATAAAGCTAAAGTCCTGTATTTCCACTGTTCTGTCAGTAAGCAATGTGATTGTCCAGACCAACCATGTGAGGCCCATGAGGAATTCCTTCTATTACTGTGGTGCAGTCATCTGTTCCTGCATAACAATATAAGATAAGCATATATCAACCTACGATAATATTTAAAACACAATATTTATATAAGCGATAACATTAAAACAGTGTGTACAATTATTATAAGTTATATAGTTATGTCATGCACGTATCTGTACCTGTTGGGCTACATATGATGGTAGAATACTCTGCTTTACTGAAGCTGGGATCTCAACGTGACCAAAGTTCACAGCAGCAGTCAAACAGTAGACGCTCAGGTAGTCTACATCGTACCAGCTCATGCCCTCTGGGAGGGTCAGTATCAAAGTCTTACGTCTGTACCTCTTCAATGGTTCTAGACTGAAATATCCACAAGTAAAATTAAGGAACCCACAAATATAGTAAATCGATTTTACAATAATGAAAAAGAAATATATTCTGATCGAGTCTTGTAGAATTTATAACAGAAGATGTCAACCATCTTCGCCATATATGATGGATTTACCTTCCATTTTCATCAGGTATCTTAGTTCCACGTGAGGACGGGGTGCCAATTACCCCACATAGAAGAACGTATCTGAACAGAGAAACAGAAGACCATCTGGTTACATGTAACTCCAAGCTAGCTCGGATTAGACAGAATAAAATTCACATCACACATGATTATCTTCATATATCCTATATATTCATGATAATACCTGGAGGCAGAGCCATCATAACTAAGTCCTGTATTTCCACTGTTCTGTCAGTAAGCAATGTGTATTGGTCAGAGCCAACCACGTGAGGACCTCTCGCAGACGCCGTATTGTCTGTGGTGTTGGTCCAGCTGCTCCTGTCTGCCAACGTGAGACTGCCAAAGTTCACCTCTATCACAGAAGCTTTCAAATTTTACTTGCTGGCTAAATGAAGGCCTATCACAGGACAATGAATAAAAACACCAAATTAAGAAAAGCACTTCAATAAAATTTGGCTTTTATTAGATATATATAACTCAACCACGTTCCATTCACTCAATAGATGAATTTGTATCGATGTGTGACTTACTGCAATGATCTGCACCACACTGACAGCCAGCGAGAATGTCAGACACTTTGAAGTCCGCTGGGCAAGGTAGAATCAATGTCTTCGTTACTGTAAGCTTTCAGGGGTTGTGGGCTGTGTAAGCATCAAGAAAAAAAATTATTTAAAACATTTACAATGTCTGCTACCTTCTTATTGACCATGATTGAATAAAATGTGCAGACTACGCAATGAAAGACAACGTACTTTGAGGGATTAAGTGAAATCAATTCTCCATCGTCGGCTGGGTGTATCACCATTCCTGCCAAGCCCAGAAAAAGGCATCTGCCGTAGCAAATAACGTTAGAGCATGCGTTCATTCCTTCATCCTCTTACTGTTACTAAATACAATGAAAGTGTCAATATTTGTGCAGCTCATGCACCTTGGGTTTCATTTTCATTTCATTTCATTTTCATTTTCATTTCATTTTTGGCCAAAAAGTGGGCGTGCTCGAAAGTAGGTCGACTGGCGTGCTCACAAAATAGAAAGTTCAAATCTCTCTCCATAGGAGTAAGCAACTGTATTCAATTTGAAACATGTGGCGTCAAACGGTTTCTGAGTTATCGTTGACGGTAGGCAGACACTGAAATGCATAGTGAAATTGCCAAAATCTACCTAATTTGCATAATTTAAAAATAAATATCAAAACCCGTGTGATATCTTTTGGGGCCAGTCTTATTCATTCACCATATCTAGAAATGGGCCAAAAATCCGTTGAACCTAAACTGACTTATGGCCATTTTTATTTTTGCGCAAATGGAATAGCGTGGCTTCGAAAGTAGTCGACTGGCGTGCTCCAAAATAGGACGTTCAAACTTCTCCATCAGGAGTAACAACTGCATGCAATTTAAAACATGTGGGTCAAACGGTTCTCGAGTTATCGTTGACCGTAGCAGACATTGAAATGCATTAGTGAAATTGCAAAATCTACCTAATTTGCATAATTTAAAATAAATACCAAAACCCGTGTGATATGTTTGGGCCAGTCCTTATTCATTCACATACTAGAAATGGGCAAAATCCGTTGAACCTGAACTGACTTACGGCCATTTCCATTTTTGCCAAAAAGTGGACGTGGCTCGAAAAGTAGGTCGACTGGCGTGCTCAAATAGGACGTTCAAACTTCTCCCATATGAGTAACAACCTCATGCCAATTTGAAACATGTGGGTCAAACGGTTCTTGAGTTTACTCGTTGACCGTAAGCGAGACATTGAAATGCATAGTGAATTGCCCAAAAATCTACCTAATTTGAATAATTTAAAAAAATAATCAAAACCTGTGTGATATGTTTTGGGGCCAGTCCTCATTCATTCACATACCAGAAATGAGCAAAACCCATTGAACCTGAACTGACTTATGGCCATTTCCATTTTTGCCAAAAAGTGGACGTGGCTGAAAGTAGGTCACTGGCGTCCTCCAAAATAGGATGTTCAAACCTCTCCCATGGGAGTAACAACTATATGCAATTTAAAACAGTCGGTCAAACGGTTCTTGAGTTATCGTTGACAGCATAAGCCAAATGTTGACGGACGGACGGACGGACGGACGTACGACGAACGGACGGACGTACGACGGACGACACCCCATGGCAACAGCTCATCTTGGCGAGCTAAAAATTAATCAATGCCCTGCAGGAACACAAACCCACTAGCACGCACACACCCCAAAACCCACTCATACACGCACGCACGAGCACGCGTGCATTCTGTCAAACACGCACAGTTGTGTGCACAAACAAAATTACACAAGAAATAATACCTCACCATGTATTACTTACCTTACCAAAATATTATGTTTGGTGAGACAGCATTTTGTTCAAACATCAAATTCATTTAAGCAACTGAGAGAAAACAGAAACTGCTGCTCCACGCAACTCATCTGTCAGTAAGAGAACAGGTGCTACGTGCTATGCAAGAGAACAATTTTTCAGACCAGAGATAATGGTGGAACATTGATTATCTGGCTTTTTCTCCATCATGGACATGTTTAGTAATCATTCTCTCCCCATCTCTGTGCTTAATGATACGTCTAACAGTGGGACAGACTTTCTATCAACAGCAATCCGTGTAATATCCACGTTCAATGACATTTTAATTGTCATTGGAAATGTGCTGGTTATCATATGTGTGATAAAATTCGATTCTTTGCACACTAACAGGCAGTACATGACAGCATCGCTAGCAGCTTGTGATTTCATTGGTGGTATGGTCTATCTTGTGTATGATTTGATACACCTTTACTTCCTGGTTTCAAATAACGTTCAAAATTTCTCAACTGTTTTCTGTATGGAAATTCATTCGTGGACTACAACAACTATGATTGACCTGCTACATTTAGGTATGTAAAATACGCTATGAATTCGTGTAATACGCTTGTGAGATGCTAAGATGACGCGAAAGCAGTAATTTTATAGAATGTCACACTATTTGGAAAAGAATTAATCGTAATATAATAATAAAAGTGTAATTGTGTAAAAACCAATCAACTGACAGTAAATAATGTCCAGTATAATGAAAGATAATTTGTGTATGGTCTTATTTCATTCTTTTAGCCATCATAGCGGTGGAGAGATACGTCGCTGTCTTTAAGCCACTGGGCTATGAAGCACTAGTCACAACGAAGCACACCATCGTAGCCATTGCTACCGTTTGGATCGGATCACTGCTTCTTTCAACGATCATCTATGTGACCACAGTCAGTTCTACGCACACGGCATTTTGCAGCGAAAAATGGATTCAAATTCATGCCAACCAACAGATGCTTCAGTGTTTGATATTCATAGCTTTTCTTTCTCTCATTTACGTGCGCATCTGGAGAGAAGCAGTGCAAGTGGAGCGAAGGATTGCTGCTGATAATATGCTACAAATTACTAATGCTCAAAATCAGAGAAAAGCCACCAAAACTATTGTGTTAATTCTGCTCTCCTTCACAGTGGGCTACACCGTATATGCGGTACAGTGGTTAGTCAATGTAAATTGTGACTGTGTTCCACAATACGTCATAGAGATGGGGATTACAATTTCTATTTTCTGCACACTCGCTGTTAATCCCATCATTTATGCTCTGAGGAGTGAGGAATACATCAGAGCTCTGAAGAAGTTGTTCAGGCATACAGAAGAGATGTGAGATGCTTTCTTCCAGCTACAACCGTGAGAACGAGGTGGCCATTTCACACTATATAACCTACAACCACAAACTATCCGAATATGTCACTGATCTTAATTATTGCTAGTAAGAATGTTGAATCTGTCATCCATTTACACTACACATGTAGTGACTGTTTTGCCACACATATGTGGTGGAGTACGTGATTGCAAGACAGAACTGTCTGTGGTACAGATTAGAGTTGCATACGTTGGAATCTGGCTGCATACCTGGTGCTTTGCCAGCATACGTGAAGCGCTTTATGAACAGTGTGTTCTCATCGAGTGCATAAATCTCTCCTGCGACATCCTCATCAAAAGTTGCAAAGTTACCAAGTTTCTTGCCTAGGTAGGCTGCCACCTCTAACTCTGTTCATGAAGAAATGACATTAGTAATTAATTATATCTAAACAAATAACTGTAATGATTAATTTAATGATTTGAGGCAGTACATGTACCTAGTATTCGAGGTATTACTACATAGATATACCAGCATTAGCCAGTTTTCAATTTGCATATTAGAGATTACACCACTTATTTGCATAAATCCCATACTAAGGCACGAAGGGTCGTTGTCGTAACAAGTACTACAGATATGTACCCGAGGTAGTTTTAGGTTGTTTAGTATTATGTTTATATTTTTATATGAGGTAGGTTTAGGGTTAGGGTTAGGGTTAGGGTTAGAGTTAGGGTTAGGGTTAGGGTTAGGATTAGGGTTATAGTGTTAGGGTTAGGGTACACTTCTGTAGTACAAGTCTGGTACACTTTGTGTATACATATATGCACCTTGGGTACATATCTGTAGTACCTGTTACGACAACGACCCCTTGAGCCATACTAAGTGTGGTCACAATCCAGTAGATTATTATTGAGAAAATCACAAAATTCTTAGGGTACTTATCGTATGTCCACGTATTATACCATGAATTCAGTAGCTATGTTGGTACACTGCACTTACTCGTCTTACATGTGTGGCCAGTCCATCCAGTATTACACTTGCAGGTGAATGTAGTCCGGCTTGACTCACAAGTCCCGTAATCACCACATGGTCGCCGTGCGCAGGGGTTAGGCCTCGGTCTTGTGACCAGGCGAATCGGTGCTGCGTGCACACCCTGCCTGGCGAGCTGCTGACCTACACACGCAAAAACTGTATGGTGAAGGCAGCATATATTTGAAAGGACCGTGTGGCAAACTGGGGAACGCGTATTGAATAAATGAATGTCGCTGCGATTATGTTATAATGCTCCCAGTCTTATTAATGATTTAAATCGGCTTTACATTCAAGTACCTCGTCCACGTCATTAGTGCATGATAAGTGACATATCCATCTTAGAAAAAACAACAATGCCTCTAGGCATTTTTGCTTGATCAGTCAAGCTATATCAGTTCGGACTTCACCATGTGTTTCAACCCTTGCCAACAAAGTTTGCATAACCATGATAACAATAATGACAAGACATAAGCTGCCTGTCAACCATTACAGGCAGATAGGTCAACCCAATGTACTCACTGGACAAATTGACAATGGGACGCAATACGATTTACATGGCAATTTTAATCCCAATTTCAGAAAATGTTTTCTGACCTGCTAGAAATTTAGCTACTTCTACAGTTCACTGAAAATTTCAACACCTCCCTCACCCCGCCTAGAGTTTATAAGTTAAGGAGGACCCATAGCCATGCATTTCTACTTCAACCGCAGGTTGATGGCAACTGTCAGTGCGAGCTGCGACTTGTGCTCATCACTAACGCAAATATAACACACGGACGAGAGTACATTGACTAGTCTACCTGTCTCACAGTGCTCGCCAGTGTAACCAACTGGACACCGGCACTTGTATGTGTAGACCATGTCGATACAGTAACCACCATTCCGACAGGGAAACTCAACACACTTGCCATGAGGCATGAAGAGTGTCAAAGCTGCAAGACGAGGAGAACGACAAATAGGAATCATATTACAAACTCACTTAACCCAGTTCCAGTGAAACATTTCAGTGCAAAGTCTTGATCTGCATATCGAGCAGCAACTATCTAGGTTTAGTAGATTGTGTTGTAAGTTATGCAACACAGATACCTCACGGGTAGACCTCCTTTACCTGTTTCACAGGTGTAGCCAGTGTACTGCTCTGCGCATTGGCAAATGTAACCAGGGCTACCCTCAATGTTAAAGCAAGTGCCTCCGTTTCTGCACGGCCTATGAATACACACATCAACTGCAACAACAAAAATGTGTTTATATTAGTTTATTTTCACGTTGTGCAAAATTGATCAGAATCGCTAAAACTGCACATGTCTACCTGCTATTCATTCTTGGCTAGCCTATGCAAATGAGAAGCCATTATACATGTACCGTATTACGTAAAAATGTTCTTTTACTTGGCGCTCTCTAAAACAAGGAGCTTGCATCACACGATGTACACACACACGATTGTAAGTAACGCCCATAAGGTCTGTATCTCACTGGGAACTGCCGCGGACACTGCGGCTACTGTTGTTTTTGCTGCTACTAACTGCTGTTACTGTTGCTGACATTATTGTTTGTTGATTGTTGATTGTTGATATTATTGATTGTTGTTATTATAACAACAGCAGCCGCAGTGACCGGCAGTAGTCAGGGAGAAATAGACCCTATCAGCGTAAGTGACCATAACAACAACAGTATACACGTACATGCAAGTTATACACGTTATAACGTTATACACGTTTATAACGTGCGTAGTTACCAACATGCATGTGACAACAACACAGGTGGGTTTTAAAAAGGTAGTGAGACAGCGTGCACCGACAGCAAAGGAACACGAGAACAACGTAAAAGAAAAACAAAACAAAAGAAAAAGGTTACGGTGGCTAACATTTGAAATGCAACAAGTTTCAACTTAATAATGCTAGATGCATCCCTGCTGACAGATCACTCAGAAAACAGATACAGAACACTTGCAGGCCAGTAGAACTTTAATGATATGTAAACAGGTCTGATAACATAGCCAACATGTTCCCCAGCTAGTTGCCATTTGCAACCAAGAAAAGTATGGCACAGTACTCGCATAATTTCTTGAAAGCGAACACCATCCGTATGCATCTAGTAGAACTGTGTCAAATAACAAAACAAAAAACATACTAACTTCATAGATATGCGTAAAACAAACGATGTGACGATGTATAGTGATGGATGGATGGTAGCGGTGGCAGCAGCAGTGGCGGACGGAGTGTACAAATCCAGAATGCGTGCGGCGTATATGTATAATTATAATCAGTGGGTGGCTAATAATACCTATGTAATACGCCAATAACACCTAATAACGAGGTACTATTAGCTATCGATGTAATGTATGTAGTAGTTTGTATTCAATTCTCGCAATTAGACATTGCAAACTGCTGCTTACACTATACTTAATTATCACAAGGTGTTTTGTGCATCACATAGCTGGATATTACCATTAATGTACTAACCATTAACACTACCAAACTAACATTAATACTACCAATAATGTAATAATCTGATCAGTAATACGCACGCGTAGATACGAAACGTACATTGATTTATGAGATTGTGTATTCGAATAAAGAGGAACAAAAATTAGAAGACACGTACGTAACTCGATCTAGACTATTTTCTTCAAAATTCAACGATGTATAAAGATAAGATACGACGCATGGTGTAAACATGATATCTGGTGCCACATATGTAGCTCGTGGTATATAATTTGCATTTCAATCCGTGATCTGCTGATATGACTCCCAGAATAAAGCTCTCGTAGTAACGCTATTCTGTGCAATGTTGGCTTTATCGTACATCTACTCCTGGGCTGTATGGCAGCGCAATGTCAATACGAGAAAAACGTCCCACGACCCACAACGAATTAAGGTAAGTGACCGAAAGCTGCAACACATGAAACAACTACAAACAGAAGAAACTGACCAACTTCTAAGCTGACTCCACGCATGCACGTAAGAACTCACACGTATACATGCACGTACATATATATAGTCACACACATAAACGATGATATATAGATATAGATGTAGTTCATTAGTAATGCCTTAACCAAAACTGGGTTAGTCAGAGCCCGGTATTGAGTGAGCCGCCGCGGTGGCCAGCTGGACTGTTAAATAAAGGTTCAGATCAGCGAGCGAAATGTAGCACAGTGCCACTGAAAACACAATACAAACAGCGATGATAGTAATCCATGCACGCTATACGTGCGTAATCGACAAAACACACGCACAAAACCCGTGCTCAGCTAAGATATAAGATATATACTACAGAAAGTACACGTGTGAAACAGAGAGCAAGACGATAATGCACGACCCAAGAATGTGGGGAACACTCGTTTCAGATGAAAAAACGTTTATGCCATTTTCTGAGGTTTTACTAATTCGCAAATAAATACATTGCACGAATATACGTATATTTACGTATACCGTTGCAGTACGTTTCATAGGTACGCACAAAACGCGTTTTCTGGGAGAGTGGAGACAGGTACGTGAGTTTTCATTGTTTTTGAAACATTAATCCAATATTGACTTGAAACCAAATCGATTTTTCTTTGCGCCGCGTACACACGAGCGCTGCGAATGAATCTTCCCCACTTCTTCAAAGCTTACGTATGTTACAGTGCTCTCCAATGAGACCAACGTTACAGTTGCATCTGTATGAGCTGCCATTAGGCTCACAGATGCTATAGGCACTACACAGCGCGCCCTTGCACGGATCGTGGGTAACTGCTGAAAGAAATCCAGTAATTTCTTTTATGCGAGCAGTCGAAGTGAAAGTTCAGCAAGAAACGAAAGTGCATAAAACGTGATTACCGCACGCTGATCGCTAGCATTACCACACCTACGATACACTCTCACAGCTGCTGCAGGCACTGAAAAAATCACACCAGAGAGTTTCAATAACACATATTAAACTTCAAGGTTCTAAAACACCTAGAGTGAGATAATAAAACAATTGTAAAATGAGCTGTGGACGATGCAGACAATCTGGACCCCGACGAACGGAATATTTATGTAGTCCACTTCTGTTCACATTATACAGCCCGTTAGTGCACCCAGCCCCATGTGCACCCAGCCCCATGTGTACCCACCCCACCCAGAACCATGTGCACCCACCCCACCCAGCACCCAGCCCCATGTGCACCCACCCCACCCAGCACCCAGCCCCATGTGCACCCACCCCACCCAGCACCCAGCCCCATGTGCACCCACCCCACCCAGCCCCATGTGCACCCACCCCACCCAGCACCCAGCCCCATGTGCACGCAGTGACACGTACGTACAGTTCTATACTGCGTTAACATGCACATACATAATATCAAGAGTACATAATAAGAGACATCTCCTATTATCTACTCTTGATGATATCTACAAAACCCCTGCGGCACATACAAAGAAACGACCCGTGAGCATTTCTGATGAGGTTAAGTGCATCACGCACGTGCTCATATTAAACATGCGTCACTGAAGCTACAAGAATCGGTAGAAGACCAAGTGTATTGTTGGCGCTAGGCACGCAGACGGTCGGCTAGCCTGACCGTGGCATGTTGAGCCAGTGGTAACGAAAAGTCATGGTGGTCCACCTCCAAAATCTCAGTGAAGAGTAAATATTTTAACATTTCCCCCCCCCCTTATAGTTATTAGTAAACATCTCCATTTCTCACTAAAATGCGAGGATTAAATTAGTAAAGTAAGCCGAAAGCCAAGAGGATCCGGGTAGAAAACTACGCAAAACGAAATTAATGGCAAATGACTATATATAGGCAATTTCACGCAGTTTCCACAAAAGGAATCACGCATCACGACAGACAAAAATAACGACCAACTGCTAACATTAGTAACAAATGATCATTTTTCATGCTAACCTTAAAACATCCGGTTATTTCCCCCATTATCTTCTCACGCTACACCCCATCATCACTCTCTGCTGCTATGGTTAATCTAGAGAGACGCCTACCTTGCTTCGCATGCGTAATCAGTGGCAGGAGGCAGGCCAATGCCACCAGCAACATCGTGGCAACCTGAAACACAAAACAAAGTGACGAAATATGCCTCAGAATCAACAGTTACCACATCTCAAATTTTATTAGTCTGGGGGGTCTGGGTCCATACCTAGGCCTCCTTCAAATTATGTTCTTTGCAACAGCCCCCGCACATTATTTTCAACAGCCCACCCCACATAAGCCCCCACACCATCACCACTACATAAAGTACTTTAAAACAGCCCCCATAAGGTATTTTGCACCAGCTCCCTACACAAATAAAGTCCTTTGTAACAGCACCTCTCCACCACCATATAAGGGCCTGGTCCTTTAATTGCAACAACCGCCCTCCCAGCTTGGGTCCTTAGCAATATTCCCACCACCACAACATAACATTGGCACCAGGCCACCTCCAACAGGACTACGTCTGTAGCAGTCTAGGGCCCTTCAGCAGACCTCACGCCGGTGGGTCTCGTCACTGTAGTCACTCAATTATGGCATTTACTGCCCAGGCCATGAGCCCCGCACAGAGCGAGGGCAAAAGAGAAAGAGAAAGAGAGAGAGAGAGAGAGAGAGAGAGAGAGAGAGAGAGAGAGAGAGAGAGAGCGAGAGAGAGAGAGAAAGAGAGCTGTCGCTACATCGTCGGCAGCACTGAAGTTTATTAAAACTGCAAGTGACGGCATATATTCGTGGCGTTGGGGTAACTCTCATAGAAAATGTTTCACACCAAATACATACCCCGAAGTCACGCTACAATGAAAGTGCGCACCAAATCAGGATTTTGTTATCTGGGTCAGCGAAAGATCAATAGAGTTAGTGAAGTGGAAAGTTAGAATGCCTGACGACAATGCAACGTATAACAGGGCTATGATACTCAAGATAGGTGTGTTTTAAACTAATAATAATAATAATAATAATAATAATAATAACAATAATGAACACATAACTATTGTTATCTAACAGCGCAAGGGCGTATACGAAAGTATAACAATGCTACACACCAACTACTAACAAGGCCGCCGGCAATGCCGTATTTGTCTAAGGTCTAACACTATTACTGCTCCTGGTGATGCTACGGGACAGCTACATGTGTTGCATTAAGGAGAAATGATCTATGTGTCTTGGTCGCAGATAGCTGCACAACACTAATGTGACCATAGCAACTTTCATCGATTGCAAAATTTTCATATGAACATGAAGTTACGTACCACAGACGACTGAATTGCGTCTAGTAATCTAACCATCTAAGCTACGGATGTGTGTACAGTGATGCAGACAATGATATATGATTATGAGTTCCACTGCAGCGTGAACGCATATCTATATCTACGCATATATATATATATATATATATATATATATATATATATATATAGTAGTAGTAGTTACGTTACGTACTTTACTACTAACTACGTATAGTGTAGTTACGACGT